GCGGAGAGCTGGAGAGCCAGAGAGAACCCCAGGGTCTGTCTGAGTCCAGCAGCAGGGTCTGCCCCTGGGTGTGGGTGTGCACACATGCTACTGCCCTCTGCGGGATGGAATCAGACTTTGCGCCTAGAGGCTGGATGCTGGTGTGTAGGCATCAACACTGCCCTCTGGTGCATGGAGTCAGATCTGCTCAACTGTGCATCATGAACTCCGTACTGCTCCCACTAATGGAGATTCTCCTTTAAGATCAAGAGCTATGGGCCCGTGCTTTGGGAACAGGAGGTTTGAAGCTCTTTCTCCGCTGTTATCTGACATGCTCTTGGCTCCGTCCTGCCTTGGGGCCCCCACCCTGGATGCATCATGCCTGGTTGTACGATTCTGCTGCTCCTGTCGCGGCAGGCAAAGCACCACCGCTCAGGGCTGGGAGCGGATCGTGCGAGGCCGATGTGCAGCGTGCTGCTTCAGGAGGCAGGCCGACAGCTCTCCGACAGAGCAGACGCCCGGGGTCAAGCCCTCTGATGCTGTGTCACCATTTGGGGAGATGGGATTTAAAGAGAACCCTGAGTTTCAACCACAATGGGCAACGCCGGTGATAGCCACGGACGTGCCCGGCGACGCCGTGAGCCGGACGAGGATGGGCTCGGGCGGAGCCCCTCTGCATTATAAGGGATGGTGCCAACGGTGCAGCTCCTTCGCAGCAGGGCGGCACGAGGGATCGGCTGCTCCTGAGCGAATGGCTTCATGCCAGCCGCAGTGGTGGTCGGTGGAGGCTGGCAGCCATTAGGGGGTGACGGTTGCCCACACGTGAGTCTGGCGGCGCATACTGAGGCAGTCCTCTAGCGCGGTGACCCCAGCGCTGGGCTTCGCAGAGCCAGAGGCCTGCACAGGCCGTTCTCAAATGCTGGCCGCCTTCGCCCTTAAAATCCGTCCTGCTCCTGTCTCCCTCCCCTTGGTATTTACTAGGCCAGTGAGTTGCATGCAGGTTGGAGCTGTAATTCTCCCTCCTTGCAATCCTGCGATGCCCCAGACTCCGGGGGGCCGGGGCAGCTGAGATCCCCCTTCCCTCCCCGGAGTCTCCACCGTAGGGACGGGAAAGTCCAGGGCAGAGCAAATCTGCCCTGCTATGAAACGCCTCCCAGACGTCCGCGGCTCGTTAGGAGATTCAATCCTTTTGCTTCGTTCTGCTCCCTACCTGAAGATGATCCGTTGTTTGTGACATCTCAGTTGGTTGCCATAGAAATTGTTGGGAATTTGTGTGCCTGGAAGGGGGAGAAGTCAGGCTGCTCGGAGCCAGTTCCCCAGCGTGGCTCTAGGGGGCGCTGCACTGCAGGGGAGCGGTGGGGGCGTCTTTCCGATAAAAACCAAGGTCCTGACCCCTTGTGGTCATGACAGGTCCCATGACACTTTTCTCAAGGGCAGGGCATTAACCTCAGCTTCTTGGCCAGATTCCAAGGCAGCTAATCCCATTCTGCCTGCTTGAGCTGCTCTGCGGCTTGAGTTCTTACCATCCTGAGCTGCTGCCTCGGGTGGCTGCGTGCTGTTAACCAACGGCTGTGCTTCGCCCCAGAGGTGGCTGCAATTCAGGGGCAGGCAAAGCAGTTAAGCCTGTTGGGATCCTTCGGGAGGAGAGGCCTGGTCTAACGTCCCGTTATTATCACTGACCGCCAGGAGCTGGTCTGGTTCCATTATGGAGCGCAGGGACATTTCCCAGTTTGCTTTTTAAAGGGAGGTTGGAGTCTCCACTGCAGCGAGAGGGAAGGGGAGACGCTCTGCGACAGGGAGATCGGGGGGCTAGCAGGGAAGCCCCAGAACTCAGGACCTTTCAAGTCACACAGCCAGAATCCCAACCAACCCTGCGCAGGAAAGGATGGGCCGTGGGCCTCTGGAGGAATGGGCCGGCACAGATCCCTCCTCTCTGACACCTGGGGGTTTATCAGGACCGTTTCCACTGGCACGGAACTTTGCAAATATTTTCCCCCTTCAAGCTGAAATTTTCTAGGCTTGGCCTCCGCTCAGAGGTGAGTTTCCTCCTCACCCCATTTTGAGAGACACCCTTCCACACACTTGGACTTAAAGTTGAGGGAGGGCAGACTTTATGGCACCTGGCTGACTCAAGGCTGCCTGGCCTTTCAACCACCAGTGACCCCCTGGATCTAGTTCTCAGGGGAGTGGCGTCAAAGGGGCAGATCTGGAGCGCTGATAAATCGTCATCGCTCCATTGACTTCAGTTGTTATTCTTAGTTATATCGTGCCCTGAATTGTTCTGGGCCCTTGATAATAAAGAAGATTCCCTGCCTTCGCGATTCATTCCCTGCAAGATGCTTCTCCAGCCGAGGATGTGCTCCATAGCGTGCATTTGGAATTCCCTCCTCTGAAACTGCCCCTTAGGAGTGAGTCCAGATTAGCCGTGTGCACAGCCGGGAAACAGTCTCACCCAGTGTGACGCTGCATGAGGGACCCCAGCCCACGCCGGTCCCACGGTCTAGCACCACAGGCCAGCGTTGGTTCAGTGCATGTCGGGGCAGTGCTGACGGGAGGCAGCGAAGTTCTGATTTCCCTTTCGGTTCCTTGCTCATCTCTTCAAGCCAAGGAAATGAAATGCAAAAACCCGTCAGCCACCGCGTGGCGCCCGGAGCCATAAACCTGCAAATGACATGAAACGGGGCAGGTTCACCTTTAATCACCCTCCTAACGGGAGAGGAAGGCTGGCCTGGGGCTAGTGTGCTGGGCTGGGTCGCAGGAGATTTGGGATCAAGTCCTTGCTTTGCCGGTGTCCCCCTGTGTGACCATGGGCCAGTCACTTTCTCTGGGCCTCAGTTTATCTGTAAAATGGAGCCAATAATTCACTGTTGGTTTGGATTGTAAGATTCATAGATTCATAGATTCTAGGACTGGAAGGGACCTCGAGAGGTCATCGAGTCCAGTCCCCTGCCCGCATGGCAGGACCAAATACTGTCTAGACCATCCCTGATTGGAGGAGGTGACTTGATTGTCGAGTCTAAGTACCATCACGGGGAGAAAATATCGGGGACTAAACACAGGCGGAGGAAGGTAGAACCAGACCCGAGAGCTGGAAGGCCACGCCAGACAAATCCAGACTAGAAATGAAGCAGTACTTTCTAATGCCCAGGGAAGTGGCGGCTTCTCCAGCCCTCGACGCCTCCAGATCCACCCTGGCTGTTTTTCTGCAAGACGCTTGAGCCAAATGGACGTCCCTGGGCTCAGCACCAGCGTAACAGTGTGAAATCCTCTGGCCTGGGCTAGACCGGATGCTCTAATGGTCCCGTCTGGCTTTCAGCGCTCTGTGCCTCGCGACCTCTTCAGCCGCTCTGTGCCAGGCGCTGCACCAGAACGCGGGCGGGTAGCTCTGCCCCGGGTCATGAGGGGGCACAGGCATGTGCAGAGGGCTCTGTGTGTGGATGGTGGGGGGAGTTGGGCTGACGCAGGTCAGAGCCGGTGTCTACACTAGAGCACAGCCATTCTCTGGGTGTATGCGCCGCACCCAGCAGTGACAGGCCCTGATCTCAGCGGGGGCCGGAACACAGTAATAATCCTGATTCAAGGCTAGGCCCCCGCAGCACATCTCCCCATTCCCCTTTTCCAGGATGGCCAATTTTGCTTGGACGTATTCCTGGAGATTTCATCCCATGACATAATCTTTAATTAAAGATAAATCTTTGCTTCTTGGCGACTCCAGGACATGAGACCCTTGCAGGGGCCTGATTTTCGGAGCGTGCTGAGCTGAGCACCTGCCCTTTGAAAGGCAGCCCCCTTTCCCCGGCTCCCTAGAGCCGAAGGCCAGAAGGGACGATCAGACCATCTTGTCGGACGTCCCGTATATCCCAGAATGTCACCCGTTCCCCTGGGTCGAGCCCAGGAACGTGCGCTTGGCTAAAGCATCTCCCCGAAAGGCAGCGTTTGGGAATCCACCACTTCCCCGGGGAGTCGGTTCCAGGGGCTGGTGAGATATTTGTGCCTTATTTCTCATGTGAACGGGGCTGGCTCTCGCTGTACCTTTCCCACCGGTGTAGAACCAATGTGAATGAAATTGTTTTTAGTTATCCTGTACCATTGTAACTTCTGTTCACCATTTCATTACACCTGCCATTTTGCCTACATTGTAACTTTCATTACACTTGCCATTTTTTCTACATTGTAACTTCTGTGCCATATTGTAATTCAAACCCCATTTTAAAACGCTTACTCCATTTTGTAAGGGCTTGCTGCAACCTTCATTGTTGCAAACCCTGCTGTAATTTTATTAGTCTAGTTGAGATGTGTGAATGAGGGATGCATGGGTGATAGAATCAACCTCCAGCACCAGCCCGTCCTGATGAGATAAAGTTCAAATACCAACGGCTGAAGAACTAGACAACAGCCCTAACTCAAGCAAGAAGCATCCACCCTAAAAAGAAACAACAGAAGGAAGATCAAAGCCAGGTCCCAGGCTGACAGTCACGCCTGCAATTAATGGGTGATCAAGCACCAAACCCAGAGGCAGCGTGACACAGCGAGACCTAGGAACTTTGAATCCAAACTAAACTCCTATAAAAAAGGAAGGGTGAGAGGAGAGACTTTGGGTAACGTTCTGCTATCAACATCAAGGAGCATCGGTGCGCGCCCGACAGAGACCCGGCTCCTCCTCGTGCTCAGCTTTCCTGGCCAGTTAGCTGCCACGAGCTCCGATCCCAAGCTGCGAACTCAAACTACAATCAGGACTGGTAACTATCCAGCAGCTGCAGAACATTTTGGTGTGTGTGTGTGTGTGAGTGTATGTGTATAAGCATTAAGGTATTTGCTAATAGTTACAGATTAATAATAAATGTGGCATCTTTGCCTTGACCCCTAAAACGATCCTGTGTAAGTTTGTGGAACAACACCGGGTCACAGGGCCAGAGACACGAAACAGACTGAGCCTCTCGCTGCCGGGCATTTTCTCCAGCTCCCAGATCACTTCGGTGGCTCTTCCCTGCACCTCTCCAGTTTGCCAACGTCCTTCTTACCACGCGGGCGCCAGAACTGGCTGCAGCAGCCCAGGGTCAACCTCATGGGCACCAGAGAGCAGATCACCCCGAAGGTGTTTCCGGTTGGACGTTTGAAAATCTTGGCCTCCGATGGCTAGTGATGGGGTCGATCCCATGAGCCGTGCCAACGCAGGGAAACACCAGACCAGCCTCTCTTGTGTTGTTTCGATCTCCACCCCGCAGAGATGCACGATAGCCCGTCTCTGGTCTTCAGGGCAGCTGCAGCGCTGGGTCGTGTATCGGCGGCAGAACCGCCGTGGCTGGTGCTGATGTGCCAGGACTGATTCCGGCGCGGGGGCAGTTTGCAGGGCTGGCTGTTGGACAATGCCGGGGCGCATTCGCAGCTGGCAGAAGTGAGCACGGCCCTCGGGAGCGATGCCAGTTTGCACCAGCGGAGAATCGACTTTTAAACTGAGCAAAGCGCAGGAGAAGCCTGTATCCGGCTGAGACTGCACGTCAGTGACAAGTGTGCTGTCCCAGGTGGCGGGCTCAGGTCCTAACCGTGTTGGTTTCCCATAGAAATGCCAGCGGGGAGCCTGGCTGCAAGAGACAAAGAAAAACAATTCACTCGGGGGAGCGTCTGGCAATTGCTGGATCTTTGCCTTGGCCGTGCCATGCGAGATTTGCCTGGGTACCGCACAGTCGTAAGCCGGGAAGCGTCACCTGGGAAGCCGACCTGGCCTACGGGAAGCATGGCTGGAGGGATGCCCTGCCTGCACAGAGGGCCAGACGCAGCTCACCGGATTGTACCGCTCTGTCAGCGTCGGAGGCTCGTCGTCTTTACACGAGTGGAGAATGTGGCCAATGTCTCAAGCATGCTCCTTGCCATTGAGGTTTCTCTAGCCCCTTTCATCCCAAAGACCCCTCCCCCCCAGCACTATTAGCAGCTATCCGGACAAGAATTATTTTGTCTGCTGCTGAAATGCAGCCACCTCTGGGGTGGAGCACAGCGGCTGAGGAACAGTGCGCTGTAGAATCCCGCACGCAGCTGAGACTGTGCAGGGGCAATGTGGGGATGCAAACTAGGACGGTGGGAACTGAAACTCAACCCGGGCAGCCCTTGCTCAGACCTGGGCAGTGGGGCCGAACTGAGCAAGAGCCCTTGGAAAAGCGTGGAAAGGTCTTGAGCTCTCGGGGCTCTTAAGGCTGGGGGCTAGTGATCTGTGCCGGTGTGTGTGGGGGGGCCTCTTAGCTCCAGTCTAGGTCTAGGCCATGGAAGGGGCCGGGGGCCTCGCTGAGCCAGGAGTGACCCTGCGGGGACGGCCTGGGGCTGGCCGAGCTCAGAAGAAGCTGCATGTGGAGCTGTCTGTTTGCTCTATGATCAAAGGCAGACCCAGAAAGGGGGTGAGTGCGGAGCAGCCCAGTAGGTGGGTATCCTTGGGTGGGGCAGGGTGGGAACGCCAACTGCTGACAGCCCCCTACTAAGCCGCCACCCCGTTCCCTGCAGCACAGCGCCCCCTGGGGCATTGGGGTCAGCCCTGGCTGTGTGGGGAGAGTGCCCCCTACTGAGCCCCCACCTCACCCCATGCACAAGCCACCCCATGGCCTGTGGGTTGTTTTCTTCAGTGCATAATACTCCCAAGCATTTACTTAGCGCTGGCCATTGCTCCAAAGGCAGGCAAGGTGTTGTCCCTCTTCCACGGACAGGGGAAACCGAGGCACGGAGCCATCGTGTGACTGGCAGGAAGGCGCCCAGCAGAGCTGTGATCAGACCCCAGCTCCCCTCCCTCCCTGGCATCGCCGCTGCCCGCATTGGCTGCTGGGGATTATAAATCACTCTGCGCGGCATAGCAAGCCGCAGATGGAGACAGGCCCGCCCTGGAGCACCTGGGCCCTGGGTTACAAAGCCGCATTGTGCTGAGCGTGGGCGCCCCTTGGCGTGGCTCCAAGCGCAGAACTGAGGGGGTCTCCCAGTTCCCATTGCCTCAAGGGGGAAGCAGCCCTGGTGGGCCCCTGTGCCCTCCCCTTGGCAAATCCCCTCAAGCAAGTGCCTCTCACTCTCTCGACCCCTGATCCTAGCAGGGCTGGCACTGCCAGGCATGCAGCCTCGCCCCTTCCTTTGGGCGTGTGTGCTGTCCTGGGGGGCTGGGTAGCAGAGCCAGGCCCCCTGCCTTCCCACTGCCCCACCCATGCCTGTGAGGGAGGAAACAGCCTGAGCCAGGCATTCTGCTATGTGGGGCTAATTTATTCCCTGGGGCCTCTCCTGGGGCAGCTGGAATTGAATCCCAGCGCATCTTTAAAGGGGCAGTGTCCCATTTCTCCATCAGGCAGCGAGGCTCCATCCTGCTTGCGCGGGGCCGGGGTGGATTTGCAGGCTGCGCAGGCAGGGAGCGGCTCGCTGGGCAGTGGGCAGCCGGCAGGAGGCTAACGCTGGGACACGGGGATGGAGCAGCAAGAGAATCGGGGCAGCACAGGAACGGCCAGGCTGGCAAGCGAGATCGAGACTCATGGGGCACTGCCCGTCCTGAGCCCAGCCCCCTGCGGATGGTAGAGCAGCCTCAGGGCTGCTCTGATTTACATGCTGCTGCCCATGCCCCCCTGGTGGGCTATGGGAAGTGGAGAACAGCCAGAGCTCAGCGGCGCCGTAGGAAGGGGGCAGCCCAGGGGGCTGGGCTCAGAGGGCCGGATTTGGTTCACACAGGTGGGGTTACTCTGGGCTGCTGGAGACCAATGGCTGGAGCCGTCACTCAGGGCCGTGCAGCAGGAGATGCCCAGGAGAGAGCGAGGCACGTGGCTGATCACACGTGGGCAGCGTGAGGGGCTGCTAGGACTCGCTGACCCCCGGGGCCTGGTTCTGATCTCATTGGGAGCACCCTGGTGCAGGCGCCAGGCGCCGGAGGGAGGGAGAGGAGAATCCACCCCCCGACGCCTGCCTGCACCCGTGGGGAGAGGTTCCCGGCCAGAGACACCAACTGCAGCCGCTGGGTCATTTATTCTTCATAACCATTAGATCGTTAGCCGGGGCCATTCACCCACTGCAGCCCCGCCCTGCCCGTGGGGCTCTCCCCGCAGCTTCTCCTCGGCTCCGGCCCTGCCAGGAGCTGGGTTACCGTGGGGACTGGCGCTTTCGCCTGCCTCTCCCGCCCCGCCCCGGCTGGGCTCTGGGAGCTCTTTGTGTTCGCTGGCCACAGGTGTTTCTCAGGTTCCCTTCCCGGAATCTGTTCATTGCTTGCTCTGCCGGACCGGCAGCAAACGGGGCTGCGTTAGTTTCCCGGGGTGGGTGTGTGAGACATGTCGCGTTCTCCGCTGCATCCCGATCTCTGGCTGTCTTGGGCCCCTGGCACCCACTTGCCCAGGGCCTATCCTGGCATGGAGCTATCCCTGCTTGGCCCCAGTGCTGGGCAAGCAGACACGCCAGCTGCTGGCCGTGTGGTGTAGCGGGCACGGCTCCGGCCCGGGTCCCGGCAGCTTCGGGCTCTGTTCCTGGCTCTGCTGTGTGGGCTTGGGGCCGGTCTCCTCTCTGGGTGACTCTCTTTCCCTTCCCACCCTTGTCGATTGAGACGGGAGCTCTTAGCACAGGGGCCTCGCGGTGCCCAGGGGTAGGAACCAAGGGCTGCAGGGATCTCCCGGGCTCAGCCTCGTGCGAGCTGGCATGGAACCGGGAAGCGGTGCCGTGTGCTCCCTGGGCAGACGCCGGCGCCGGGCGATCCTGCCCATTATCGCTGACGCACGTCACCTGGGGGAGAGGGAGCATTGTGCGGCGGGGGAGTGAGCCCAGGGGTTCACCCCTCTGGGGGCTCCATCGCCCGTTCCTTCCTCGGAGGGGAGGGGCCTGCCCCTAGCAGGATGGTGCAGGGGGGAGAAGTACAGTGAGGAGTGGGGTGCTGGGATGGTGACAGGACCACAGACATACCTAAGGGAGACAAGTGCCTAGCGTGAGGCTCTCCAGGGGGACCCCCGCAGGCCTGTTTGTTCCCCACATCCCCATGTTTGTTCCCCTCCCCTCTCTCTGCTCTGACGGTGCCATCAGCTCTTGTGCTGGGCCCAGCCTCTCCTGGCCCCATGTGAGCTCTTCCGCTGGGAGGGGGGTTGTGAGCGCCGAGCAATGGCCGCCCCCAGAACAGGGTTCGGGGAAGGGACCTCCAGGGCGCCCTCTCCCTCTGGAGTCCCCTTGGGCCGGGCGCGGTCCCCGCTCTGCTGTGTTTTGTCTCGGCCCCCAGCCGGAGCTCGTTCAAGAGCGAAAGGAACGAGGCCTCCCATGTGTGACCCTGTCGCTCCCAGGAGGTGCTGGAAGCTCTTGTGTTCTCACTGTCCCGGGGCGACTGGCCTGGCGGGGGGGGGGCTTTCCCCCCCTCCCCAGGCCCCCAAGACAGCACCCCAGCTGGCATCCTTCACCTCCCACCTTCTCGCCTCCGCCCCAGCCCAGCCCCCTGTTGCTCCCGTCACACCAGGGCTGGCTGAGCGGGACCCTCTGCAGCTGGCTGGGTGTTCTCTGCCGTTCCCAGCAGGGCTGCGGGTGAGATTCAAGTGCAAAGTGTGTCACTTAGGAAGGAAAAATCAAATGCACAACAACAAAACGGGGAACGACCGGCGAGGCGGGCGGGCAGGCGGGACTCCTGAAATGGGCCTGGGGGTTCTCGTGGGTCACAAGTTGAATATGAGTCAGCAACGTGATGCCGGTGTGGAAAAGGCGAATCTCATTCTGGATGTATTAACAGGAGGTCATTGTCCTGCTCTGCTCAGCACTGGGGAGGCCTCAGCTGGAGCATTGCGTCCAGTTCTGGGTGCCGCACTCTAGGAAAGACAGAGGTGGATTATGGTTTTGTGGGGCCCTGGGCCAGAGCAAGTGGGGGGTCCCTCCCCACCCCATCTGCCTGCAGCTCCTCCGCACCTCCCCGCTGCACCTGCCTGGGAAATGGGGTCAGGGCGCGGGGACTTGCCCCACACCACCTGCCCACCCGGCTGTGACGTTATTGACATAAACTGGGACCATATAGATCATTGTTGCAACCAAGGTCCTGTAGTGGCACCCAAATCTTGTATAAAGGGGGTCAAATGGGGTGTCTAAGACAAGGTTATGGTTTACTGGTTATGACTATGCTGTCTATATGTGTGTATCAGTTTTGTAGTTGAAGTTACGAATATTGGCTCTATACTGTCTGTATGGCAAACTTATGCTATGCTTCTGGGTGACATCCCAGACAAGCTGGGATTAGCTCTGCCTAGCCTGATTGATGGCCCATTAAGGACCATCAGCTATACAATGGACCCATTGAGAGAAAGCCAATATGCCTTCAGACTCAGCAAAGTATGCAGGGACTGGCCCATGTGACTCCAGGCTCCATTTTGCTGTAATGTTCCACAGTGAGAACAAAGAGGTGTTCTTACACCTGGAAAAGACTATATAAGGCTGATGCCTCATCTCCATCTTGTCTTCAATCCTGCTTCATACCTCTGGAGGAACTTTGCTACAAGCTGAAGCTTTGAACAAAGGACTGAGGACCCATCCCAGCGGGGGATGTATTCCAGAGACTTGATTTGAACCTGCAGTTTATTCTATCGCTGCTGCAAGCCTGAACCAAGAACTTTGCCATTACTGTATGTAATTGATTCTATTTAACCAATTCTAACTCTCATCTCTATCTTTTTCCTTTTATGAATAAACCTTTAGATTTTAGGTTCTAAAGGATTGGCGACAGCGTGATTTGTGGGTAAGATCTGATTTGTATATTGACCTGGGTCTGGGGCTTGGTCCTTTGGGATCAGGAGAACCTTTTTCTTTTACTGGGGTCTTGGTTTTCATAACCATTTGTCCCCATAACAAGTGGCACTGGTGGTAATACTGGGAAACTGGAGTGTCTAAGGAGATTGCTTGTGAGACTTGCGGTTAGCCAGTGGGGTGAGACCGAAGTCCTCCTAATCTGGCTGGTTTGGTTTGCCTTAGAGGTGGAAGAAACCCCAGCCTTGGGCTGTAACTGCCCTATTTGAGCCATTTGTCCTGAGTTGGCACTCTGTTGGGTTCCACCAGAACCGCATTGTCACACTGGCGCTCCTGCGATCCCTTGCCCCAGTGCCCGACCCCGCTCCTTGTCAGGAGTGCCGGGCGGGCGGAGCAGGTTGGGGCGCAGGGCGCCCATTTTTCCAGGGCCCACCAATTGGCCAGGGCCCCTGTGCATGGTCCCTATTGTCCTACTGGCTAATCTGAGGAAAGACGTGGACAAATTGGAGAGAGTCCAGAGGAGAGCAACAAAAACGATCAAAGGTTTAGAAAACCTGCCCTGGGAGGAAAGGGTAAAACACCTGGGCATGTTTAGACTTGCGAAAAGGAGACTGAGGGGGATCTGATAACAGTCTTCTAACCCGTGAAGGGCTGTTATAGACAGGACAGCGATCGATTGTTCTGTGTCCAGTGAAGGTAGGACAGGAAGTAATGGGCTTAATCTGCAGCAAGGGAGATTGAGGTTGGATATTAGGAAAAACTTTCTAACGCTCAGGGTCATGCAGCGCCAGCCCAGGCTTCCCAGGGAGGTTGTGGGAACCCCGTCACTGGGGTTTTGAAGACCAGGTTGGACACACACCTGCCAGGGATGGTCTAGGCCTGGGTTACTTGGTTCTGCCTCAGCGCAGGGGGCTCGACCTGAGGACTTCTCGAGGCCCCTTCCAGCCTGACGTTTCTCTGATTTGCTGCATGACTCCAGTTACCAGCCAGGTAGAGCTGAAGGACCCAGAGCGTAGCCCGGCTGCCCCAGGAGGGCCGAGAGGTCTGTTGTCTGCAGAGCATGAATCAGTTACCGTTCAGTGCCTGGCTAGTTATTCTGAGCTCTGTCAACCCTGGGGGTGGGGGGCTTGCCTCCCATTGTCCATATTCCCCTCCCCACTTCACCAGCGGGGGCTGGAGCCCTTGAGGGTCCCGGTCTCCAGCGTTTCTCTGCAGCCAGCGGGTCTAGGAACTTCCTGGTTTCACTTCTCCTGTATCCCCTGACTCCAGGAGCTGGGGCTTTAAGACACCACCCAAGATCATGTAACTCAGGGGAAAAGTGCCCGAGCGGGCAGCCACAGGCTTTGCTTTCACTGCTCACCTGAGCTCCTGGGCCGCTCCACCCACACAGCCCAGAGGGGCTGCTGATTTCAGATGCCTCACTTATGGGGCCCCCAACCTGGGATCTGATCCCTCAGCAGGGCTGAGGGCCGGCAACTCCCACCGGCTTCAGACGGAGCTGTGGGTGCTCAGGGTGACACACTTGGGAAGGATCCCGCCCCACCTAGAAGATAACAGCCTACTGCTGCTGTCCGCGAGTGGAGTTCCTCCTCCAGCTCTATGCTGGGGACCTAGGGGTGCAAACCCTCCCTCGAGCCCTGTTCTTTAATACCTGCTGGTGGGTGGCTTTGCAGAGCCAGCTGCTAGCAATGCCCCTCCCCCCACCAGTAACAGCATGTAGCTCCTCCCACCCCCAGCTGGGGGGGATAAAGGCCCCGCCCCTTGGACTGTCCTAGCCCTTTGCAGGGCTCTGTGGCTAGGAGAGCTTGGGGGAATGGAGCCAGGGAGTGGCCTGGATTGGAAGTGGGCAGGTGAAGGAAGCCGGTGAGTATGAACGCTTTGAGCCGCTTGCTCTGCGTGGAGGATTCATAGGCCGTGTGATCGGGGGGCTGGGTCTTTGGGGTTCTGACCCAGCGCTGCCCTGGGTTTGCTGGCAGAGCCGGTCGCTGAGGCAGAAGTTCTCAAACGTGCCCCTGGCCGTGGGCGTCTGTTTCTGGGTGCCTAGGTTGAGCCAGATGAAGAGATTGCCAATCAATGGGAGTGAGGGGGGCCCAGCACCTCTGAGAGTCTGGCCCCTGGAGTCCCAAGTTGGGCTCCCCAAATCAAGGGGGACTTTTGGAGTCTGAGAGTTTCAGGCCAAAAGGGACCCCCAGCTCCTCCAGCCTGACTCTGACCTCCTGTATGTCATAGGCCACCAACCCCGCCCAGCACCCGCATGCTAACCCCTCCCTGCCTCAGTTTCCCCACCTGTGACATGGAGTAATAATACATCCTGGCAGGGGGAGGGTTAATTAGCTAATGAGTTCCATATGCTGCTTGGCTCTAAATCAAACTCCAAGCACTCAGGGCCCAGACTTGGCCGTCCTTGCGGGCACCTCTGCCAAAGGGCAGGCTGGGGCGGAGGCTGAGACTGAAGGGATGAGTCCGTCCCCCCCCCCCCCCCCCGGCTCCTGACGGATGCAGCAGAGCCAGGCGCTCGGAGAAGGGAGCTGGGAAGGGCTGGGGGGCAGGGAAGCCCCTGGGGTGAGGTTTTTCCTCCCGCTTGCAAGGTAGAGCTACTCTGGGCTCTCCCCTCTGTCCAGCTCTGGGGACCCCCACGCTCCCATCTGTGGCCAGCTATCCCGTCCCCCATCCTTGGGCTGATGGGCACCTTACTCCCCGGCTCTGTCGGCGTGCGGCTGGCATCCGAAAGCATCTCTGGGGGCTCCCACCCAGTTGCATCTCTCTGGGACCCAAGGAGGTTGGCAGCCAGATGCCCCTGGGCGCTTGCCCACCTGCAGCGTGGAGCCCAAGGGGGGGCCGGTTTTATCTCGTGGCTTTAACGTGTGTTGGTGAACCTGGCGGCGCGTTCTCCTGGTGCTGCGTGATGGGCGTCCTGCGCGGGCTGCCAGCCAGGCCCGTGGGCGTGCGGCTCTCAGGGGTCTCACTTGGCTGTTGTCCAGCTTCCCCTGGGTTGACACCCCACAGCGCCGTGTGGGGGTTTCCCTGGGGCTTGTGTGCCTCTAGCCGGAAGGTGCCCGGGTAGCCCCGCTGGCCCAGGAGCTGGGCTCTCTGTCCCGCGATGCGGGGTATGTTTGGGGGGTAGGTGGGAGAGACGGATTCGGGACAGGGACGCTGTGCTTGCGTTTCCACCAGACTCCTGGGCCTGGTTCAGAGCCGTGCCCTGAGGAGACCAGTGTGGCTACGGGCCACGGATGAATGGCAGGGAGGGGGCAGAGGAGTGTCTGGGGGGGGGGCGGCTATTGGAGCTGGCTTTGGGTGCCCGCCAGGCTGGTGTGGGTGGAAGGGCTGCCAAGTGCCAGGCCAGGCCTGGTCCCTGGGCACCCAGTGGGCCTGGCGTGCTCAGCCCAGTTCGCCCCGCTGAGCTGGGTCCTGGCACAGCACCAAACCTGCTGGGTGCAGCTCCTTCCCCCAGCGGCCAGTTGCTGCCAGTGCGTGCCCCCGGCCAGGAGAGCAGCTCTCCCAGCGGTGGGCTGGAGGGGCTTGTCTCCAGGTCTCCGGGGGGGGGGGGGGGGGGCGCTCTTGTAAAGCCAGGCCCCTGCGTTCATGTTTGGGCGGCTCGGGCACTGCCTAGGCGGTGGGGCCCTGGCGCTCAGTGGGGACATGGGGGTGGGGCTGAGCCTCACACGCTCGTGAGAGCTGGAGGGTGACGTCCTGGCCCCCTCCAGCTCGCTGGGGACCCCCCACTGGCTTCCCTGCGACCCCAGCCCAGGGCCGGCATGTGGCTGCCCGGGCCGGCGGCTTGGCCGGTGGCAGGCAGGTTGGGAGGGCTGGCAGTCCAAGGGGCTCGGCAGAGGAAGGCTGGGGGGCCGTTCGCCTCTCCCCACCAGTGTGGGACCGCAAATTCCTTGGGGCTGCACCAACGGGCCCTAGAGCAAGATCCCCCCAGGGCTATGGGAAAGCCCAGGCTCCCCCCTTCTTCTCTCCCCCCCGCCCAGATCTAGCCCCCCCACCCCAGCAACTCACTCTGTAGTCCCCCTCCCCTCTCCTGCCTGCTGCAGTGGTTAATTGGGAGCATCCTGTGATTTCCCTGGGGGGAGGGCAGGGGGAGGTTAATACCATTAGCAAAGTACTGATGGAGCTAGCTTGAGGCTCCAGTCCCCTGCCCCTTGCCCGTTCGTCACCTGCTGCTCCATCTCCATCAGCAGAACCGGCTTCCAGCCCGCTGGGGGGCTCAGCTCCCCCGTCATGGAGCAGTCGCCACAGAGCCCCTCTCTGCTCCCCCACCCCACCCGGGGCCCAGCTCTGCCCCGTAGGGAGGGGGATGGGCAGGATCAGCCCAGGCTCCTTGCTAGGGATGGGGGGGACCCCTAAGGGGTGCTTGGGGGGAGGGAGGCTGGTCTAGTGGCAATTCCCGCTGACTTCTGTGTGACCTGGGGCCGGCCACAGGATCTCTGTGCAGCGGTTCCTCATCCGTAAAATGGAGCAATAGTTCCCCCTGCCCCACGCCCGTCAGCTGGTGATCCTCTCTGCGCTGGGGCAGGGCCTGTCTCTCGCTGTGTGTCTGGGCAGCGCCTGGCCCAAGGGGGCCTTGATCTCAGCTGGGGCAGGGCCTGTCTCTCACTGTGTGTCTGGGCAGCGCCCGGCCCAAGGAGGCCCTGATCTCAGCTGGGCAGGGACTGTCTCTCGCTGTGTGTCTGGGCAGCGCCTGGCCCAAGGGGGCCCTGATCTCAGCTGGGCAGGGCCTGTCTCTCGCTGTGTCTGGGCAGCACCTGGTACGACGGGGCCCTGATCTCAGCTGGGGCAGGGACTGTCTCTCGCGGTGTGTCTGGACAGCGTCCGGCACCGCTGGGCCCTGGTCTCTGTTGCCAACACAGATAATACCTGTTGTGGTTTGGTCGTTCTCTGTGAACGTCTGTGGAAGGTGCGTGTGCCCTGCTCAGAGGGCAGCCGGAATCTGGCCTACACCTGAGGCTGGTTTTGTCTTCATCCCCGGGACGTTTCCCCTGGCTCCCGGTGCCAGGTCTAACTCACATCCCCTCTTGGAGCCGTGATCAGCTCCCTTGTCTGACCCCGGCAGCAGAGCGGTTTGTCTGGCGCTGCCTGTCCTCACTCGCCTTGTGCCAGCGGGTAGCGCTGGGGCTGAGAGTGATGGGTTCTGGCGAGGATCACTGCTGGGTGTTCTGTGCCCAGCACCATCTCTGGGACCAACTGGCCGTGGACTGAGATCTGAGCATTACCCGATGGCGAGATGGGGAAGCAGGGTTAATGCTCGGGGCCAGTTTCTGGGTCTGGAAGGGATTCTCTGTTCCAGGGCATCGGCAGGCCCCTGCTGGGGCTGGGGGTGGAGGTCAGTGTGTTTTTTTGCTCATCCTTGCTGGGTACGGCGCTGTACAGAAATGCCGTAAGACAAGGTCTCTATGCTGAGCCACTTTGCCTGGAGTGTCAAGAATGCGACCCTTAAGAGTTAAGGGATGGAACAAAACGATTGCACTGTAGTACGCTAGCGTTTGCAGTCTTTAGGATGGTAGCGTGTCATATTCAGGGAGGGTGAATTACCCTCTGATCGCTAGTCACTGCTGGTTCATCTGTTAAATCTGAATTTCAGTGGTTCCTAAACCTGGGAGGATATTGGCGAGGAAGAGAGTTGTCTAGCTTTGAGAAAAGGTCTGTACCGTGGAGAACCTGCGTTCTACATGGGCGGTAACATGGACTACACACATTTGGAGGCCAGTTATCCCTGGAAGGAGAAACATTCCAAAGTTTAGTTTTGTAGTGGAGAGAGACTCGTGTTTCTGACCAAATGATGATTTTTTCAAGTGTGATACGTAATCAGTCATGTGGAGTGTGTCAAGAACCTTGCTAGACATCCTCAGCCGCAAACAGGGAAATATGGTCTAGATGAGCTTTCTATGAGGGAGGTGCACAACCGGTTGGAAATCTGTACTTAAAGGGTAGTTCTCGTGTCCTCCCAGTTTGCCAGTGGGCCATTATCTAGTGGGGTCCCACAGGGGTCAGTTTGGGGTCCGATACGATTCAATATTTTCATTAACAACTTGAGTGGACAGGATGCTTATACAATTTTTGGATGACACCAAGCTGGGAGGGGTTGCAAGCACTTCGGAGGACGGGATTAGGATTCACAATGATCTTGATAAATTGGAGAATTGGTCTGAAATCAGGAAAATGAACTTCAGTAAAGACCAAGTGCGAGGTCCTTCCCTTGGGAATCAAACCCGCTGCTCCAAACGAGGGAATAACTGGCTGGGTCGCGCTGCTGAAACGCACCTGAGGGTTCCAGCGGATCACAACTCGAATGAGTCCCCAGTGTGATGCTGTTGTGAGAAAGGCGATTGTCCCTCAGGTGTATTAACAGGAGCGTCGTCTGTAAGACGTGGGCGGTCGTTGGCCCGCTCGGCTCGGCACTGGGGAGATCTGAGCTGGAGTCCTGCGTCCAGTTCTGGGCGTTGGGCTTTAGGGGATGCATTGGAGAGACTCCCAAGGGGAAGAATAAAAATGAAAAGCAGCCCTGGGGGAAAGGCTAAAACCCTGGGTGCCTTTAGTCTAGAGAAGCCTGGGGGGGGCTGAGGAGTCTGTAAACAGGTACAAAGATTGGTGTAAAGAGGCCGGTGATCGATTGTTCTGTGTCCACTGCGGCTTGGACCAGAGGAAATCAGCCCAGTTTGCCGCAAGGCGGATTTCGGTTGGATTTTCGGAAGAACTTTCTACCTCCGTGGGTGGGGAAGCTCTGGGCAGGTGCCGGGGGGGGGCGAGGGTTCTCCGTCACTGGAGGTTTTTACGAGCAGGGTGGACAAACCCCTGTCAGGGCTGGGCCTAGGTTTCCCTGGCCCTGCCTTAGCGTGGGGGGCTGGGTCCCATCCAGCCCCACGTTTTGGTGACTGCAGTGCTGTGTGTTGGGCGGGATTTATTGTTTGAAATGCCCATGCTGGTCTCCGTGCAGGCCGGGGGCGTCAGCGCGCCTGGCAACGGGGCCGGTTCTTGGCACCGCAGGGGTTTCCAGGCTCCGTACCAGCAGCCCTGAGCTGGGGCGCCTCTCTATCAGCCAAGTGAGCAGACCCTCACTGCATGGGGAAACTGAGGCAGGTAGTAGGGAAGGGCCTTGCCTCCATTTGCACGGGCAGAGCTGGGACTAGAGCCCAGGAGCCCTGCCTCCTAGCTCCACACCTTGATCCCACACCCCCCGGGAGCCTTTGGCTAGGAACCGTAGCACAGGGTATGCCCTGCCAGCGCCCCATGCCCCTCCCTCTGCACCTCACCCTGGGCCCTGTTGAAGCAGGAAGGACGGTCTGGCGGTTAGAGCAGAGTCAGCCGGGCAAGTCAGCTGGGCGTTCTGTGCCTCAGTTTCCCATCCGTCCCATGGGGGTAAGAGCCCTGCCCCACTGGGGCGCGGGAGGATAGGTCCGTTGATGATTTGCCTGCGGAGACACCCGAGAAATCCCGTAGGTGGGGGGAAGCAGCAGTGTCTCCCTGGAGGGGGCTCCCCCCGCCCAGCTGGGCCCAGAGCTAGGGGAGCGCTCCGTCCTCGCAGCCCTGCATCCCCGGGGCTCAGCACCACCCGTCTTTGGTGCCGCATCGCTCGGCTCCAGGGCGAGCGCCGTGAAGGACATGAGCTGAGAGCGCGTGGAGCAGCCAGCAGCTGCAAGGCACAAAGCCCGCGCGACCCAGCGCTGCCGGGGGAAGGAGAGGGGGGAGAATCTCATTAGCTAATGGGGGGTGGGATTTGCCGGGCGGTGCCTGGGCTGGCTCGTGTGCATGTGAGCTGGGCCCTGGGCGGCCCGGAGGGTGCATCCTGCTCTCTGCAGTGGGATGTCTTAGCTAATCGCCCTGCACCTCGGCTTCCAGGCTGGCTGCGCCCTTGCAGTTTTAGCCGGCGTCGCCAGCACCTGGACGGGGCGCACAGCGAGAGGCTGGGGGCTGAGGGGCGCTGGCCCTGAGAGCTGCACTCAGGTGGCTCAGGAGAGGCTGGGAGCTGCCTGACGCCCGCCCGGCTCTGCGGTGCTGATGGCACGGTGAGGGGCGGTCGGGATTCGCCCAGCCACAGGCCGGGAGCCACCGGTTACCTCAGGGCTCAGAAACCGCCCCCACCCCCTCGGCATCCATTGGAGTTTTAGCTGGAAACCACCTTCCCCTGGGGGCTGCAGATCGTGGGGGGCCAGGCAGGAGCGAGCTATGACCCGTCTCAGCTGCTGCTTTGGCTCGGTGATCCGCTGGGGGAAGTACCTCTTCTCCTGCGTCCTGCACCGGTGCTTCTGCCGGCCCCGGAAGGTAAGGGGGCATGGGACAGGGATGTTGGGGTGGGGGGAGCCTGGCTTCGTGTCAGTAAACATGGTAGCCCCAGGGGAGCCCTGATTTTCAGGGGTGCACTGTTGTGGGAGGAGGGGGCGGTGGGCCAGCTATGGAAGGGCAGGAGGTTGGCAGCTTGGGGGGATCCCTGCGGAGTGGGGCATGTTGGTGGAAGAGCCCTCGTGTGGTCCGAGCTGGCATGGTCTCAGATGGCAGGGGCAGGCCAGCCCGGCTCTGGGGTCTGGGAACCAACTTTCTCATCCTGAGACCATCTCCACGTGTCTTCCTGCTGGCCTGTTGCCCCCCCATGGGAGGGGACCCTGCTGAGGGGGGGGTCTTTGGCCTGGCCAACAAAGGGGGCCAGTTGTGCTGGTGGGTGCTGGGCTGAGACCCCCCCCAAACTCATTGCACACAGCCCCTGAGCAGCCAGGCCCCAAATTTTTTTTTCACTGGGGCCCGAACCCGCTCTCGGCGGCCCTGGCTGCATGGTGTGGAGGCAGGTGGGGAGAATGGTGAGGGGCCTGGGGCAGCGTCCCTGGGAACAGAGTGAAAAGGGCCCGACCCTAGAGAGGAGACTGGATTGAATCCTGATTGGGAGAGCAGGAGATGCTCGTCTCTCTCTCAGCAGGGTCGTGGGGGCAGCTGCTGAGCCCGAAAGGTGGCAGGTTCGATAGTGACCCAAGTCAGTGGTGTTGGCCTGGGGAACTCACTGCCACAAGAAGCTGCTGAGGCCAAGAATTCACCATTCGGAGGGGGGGGACTGGACGTTCTTAGGGATAATAAGAACAGCCAGAGTTATAACGACTGACAATCAAACCTGGAGAAGGGCCTGGGGGACATGGGAACTGCAACCCTAGCCTAGCTGTTTGGGACAGGAAGTGAAGTCCCTGGATGTGGGCCATGACACTGCTGTCCTGCTTCAGCGCAGGGGGCTGGATTTGATGAC